ATTTTACAGAGACCACAATAATGTTAACTGTTCTTAAGTGACACAGCCAGTATTCAAACCCAGGCAGAGTAGCTCTTACCACTGCTCCTGCATTATAATTACCTGTTTCTTGCTTGCTAGCTGACTTTTTCTCTCAGATAAAACATATCTAAAGCAGTTGTTGTTAGGTGCCATTCCATGCCTATGACTCATAGTGACCTTACGAACAACAGACCATATCCTGCAAGCATCTAAACAGAGGTGGCCTCAAATAGTGTTAATCTTCAGTATTGTCTCTCCACAAGAGAGTCTCTGAGTCACAGGCAACGCAATGGCACCTACAAACGACACCAGCGCGGTGGCACCATAATTAAGCACATGAGCGTTAACTGGCAGGTCAGTGGTTCAACTCTACCAGCAGCTCTGAGAAAGAAAAGACAGGTGATCTGCTCCCATAGAGATCGTCGTTGAATGTTGTTGAGTCAGCTCTGACTTGCAGCGACCCTGTACACCTGATCGTGTGCCATTCGCACAATCTCTGTTCCATAAAGATGACAGCCTAGGAAACCAGATAGGACAGTTGGCTGTCATGAGGGGCCACTCACTACAAGTCATAACTGGCCCAACAACATGCAGAAGTGATCGCAAGTGATTATCTAAGGCTAAGGAAAACGAAGTGAAAAATCTCAGTCCAGAGTGCTCATTAGCCATCTGGGGTACATCCTGATAGAGTTGCCCATATATCCTACTAACTCTCAATTTTGGGGGTTCTGGAAGTCAGAGTCTTGAGCATATTTACTAATATTCTAAGAGTCTATCATGGTACCATGTGCCTTTTGAAGATGTATCTTTTTTCATTTTACTTAAAAGGCACAAATTTTTGCTTCAAATAGAGTGACTTTAATTTTCTCTGAAAAGGTGGTGGGGTTTTTTTTCTGCTTTATTCTTGGAACTCAACATGGATTTTCTCAAGTAGATACATTTATATTTACTTCCTCTAACCCACATACACTTACACATACACACACAAACACCTCCTGCCCCCAAACACAGAGTAATACCTCTTTTATGTCTTCATTAGGGAGTTCTAGTGGCCAAGGAGTTGCACTGCCAGCCCCTACACTAAGTGCTCTGAGGAACAAGGACTGTCAGACAGCTTTTGTATATCTTACAGCCTTTTAAAACCTGATGGTCAGCTATAAATGAGTTCCAACTTGAGAATGACTAAGTGAATAAATTCTTATCCTCATTAAGCAAGTTAATGACACTGACTACCAGTAAATCTATACCGGCTTTTATTCTACTAATCAGGAATGGTGCTCTGTGTGCCTTTTTGTCTACCTATCTTGGGACAATGCCCATTTGTTCCTTGTCTGGTGCACTTCACCTCTTGTGGAGGGGCATGTACATCTCTGGTCCTGTCCTAATTATTATAATAGAGAGCTTGATTCAGTCTTATGTTTGGAAAGGAAAATGTGATCTAGAATCAGGTGACAAGCACAATAGAGGGAGACAGCATAAATAGACTTTCTTTTTCCACAATAAGCCTCTTAGGAAATAGCACAGGCAATATGAGTATCATAGTCATTTGCAACCAGTGTTGACTGATATCTGGGCAAATTTTAAACCTAGTTCTTCCACTAAATAAAACAAAGAATTTAATTCTCTACTTCTAGGAGTGTATGTTGACTCTTGGAAATAAAATGTCACATTATTTTATAGAACTCATTTTATAGAACAAGTGGTAATGGCCCCCAACATTATTTTCTATTTGGTTTTAAGATGATGCATTCTAATTAAAACTGGTCCGGGCCTGGTGCCGGTCTAGAGTCACATAGCAGGCAGTCAGGAAATGTTTACAACTTAGTAGACTTGACTGAAAATGAGGAAATTCGTGGCAAATACATTTACAGTATCTCTTGCAATAACTGCACAAATAATTTGATTATATAATAAACCTTACCTGCTTTTCCTCTGAGCTGCCAGAAGTAGCCTGGTGTTTAACCTTCAAACAGAAAAGAAATATTACAATGGGAATATGTTCTGAAGCACAAAGAAACACAATCCATTCATTTTTCAGGAATTTAAGATTCAGCTGTACTCACTGGCAGGGCGTAGGCAATGCCTAAGAGACAAAAACAAATCACAGCGATTCTCATGATAGTGATTTTCCCTGCAAAAGATTTGTAAGGAACATTTGAGATCCGTGAGGCTGAAACAGTGGTACTGATTCATGCTACTTCCTAACAAACTAATCAGAAATGTGGTTTACTTTCTGTAGAATGGTTTCTACTTCTAGAGAAACTCATTCTTTTGAGTGCTGGGCTTTTTATGTTAATATTTGCAAAGCCATCTCTATTCTCCATCTCCTGGTATTAGGCAATGGAATGGGGAATTTTACAAGTCTGTATTTACCCAGCTTTTAAATTTAGAGCTCCAGAGGTTAAACCATTTTGCCCTGACAGCACCACCTATCTTAAATAGAGACTAAGAGTCATCCAATTAATTTTACAAGTTAGTTTGGGGACTGTTACATTTTCAAAGGGAAAGAAAGGAAAAACTATGCAAGAATTTTTTTCTCCACTTACCTAGTATGATTAAGGTGTGACTTAGGTAAATCATAACTATCTTTAAAGTAACCATATAAATTAAATTAAGCATTCTATACATTTAAAGTGAAAATACACAGAAACAGTCAGCAGATTTTCTCTAGGATGATATGAATCAGCATAGTCATAAAGGTACCTTGGCGAAAGATTTCACAGCAAAACACAGATGTAAAACATTCAGAGAAAAAGATTTTATCCCCTTGACATTGGAATAGATAGAATAATGATAAATAATGGCAGCATTAGCATTAGATGTTATTTTTCTTCTTCAAATACCTGTACTATCAACTATTCATTTTTAATTATGTAGCTATGATAATTCCAAAGGAGTATAATAAGATTTTATCTTTCTTAATCTGACTTGAAACAAGAGAATCTAGAGGAAGTTTAAGTTTTATTTCCAAATGGCTTTTCAGAATAGCTGATCATCCTTCTTCCACAAGTTCTGCAGTACTATTCCCAAGACTACAACTATGTAAGTCTGCACTGATTCCCTTATATTGAAGCCTTTTTTCTTACAGTTTGGGCCACCTAAGAGATTAAACAGATTATTTAGCACAGCCATGAAATACCAAAGTGCATACTGACCTGGAGTGGTGCCTGGCTGAGAAGGCTGCAGCTGTCAGGAGTAGAGAGTCTTGGCAGAGACAGGATGCTGCTGCGGCTGCTGCTGCACTCTTCTGCCCCCTCTGCCTGCTGCAGACAAGCTGGACCTCCCTGAATTTAAATGCAGCTCCACCAACGCAGGGGGCGGAGCGATGCGTCAGGAAGTTTGTGCTCCGCCCACTTGCTCCCACACTTCCCCTTCTGGTTCTGTGGTTAAAAACAAAACAAAATAAAACATGCAAACCCCCAAAACCAACCAAAATCCAAATGTACACACACACACACACACACACACACACACACACACACAATTACTTATGTACAATGCAGTTCTTTGCTTTTTCATTTAATAAACCTAGTATTCAGCATCATAGAGGAACTCATGTTGTTGATCCATCCAGTGGAGTACTACTCATAGGGACCCATGAACAAAAGGCCTGAAGCCCCTTAACTACTGACATTTATCAAAGTTCATAGAGTTTCCAGAGGCATGTTGTTTAGGAAGTGGATGGCACTCCTGCTTCCAAACCTGTTTTAAACTGAGAGCTCCACCAAGCACTGTCCACCATGGGTAACCATTATGGCATTTGACACCCCAATGGTACAAAGTTCAGCATCACAGCAACCCCAGCTTATCTCAGTCAGCATATTGACAGAAGAGTGCTGTACCACTTAGAAGAATGTTCCTCCAAATAATAACTGACTTTTAAATACAAAGGCCCTCCCAGAGGTCTTGTTGACTGTAAAAGAGACTTAAATAAAAAAAACCCCAACAAACCCAACAACAAAAAAACAAAACAAAAAAACCCACAAAGCAACCAATATAGTATGTTTTTGTTGTTATGTGCTGTTGAGTTGCCTGTGATGTATATCGACCCTATGTACAGCAGTTCTAAACCCTTCCCTAACCTGAGCCAGTCTCACTATTAGGGGTCCCATTTTCATAGAGCATGTAACATTAACCAGCTCTTGCAAAGGCTTGATTGATAGTTTCTAGTTTAGAAGAAATACCTCAAATGGAATGAAATAGAAGTTTTATTTCTTTTAGCTTCTGTGGGTAGGTAATTAAGGGATCATCTGCAAGAAATCTTTTCTCCATGAATGGACTTATTTCAGAACTAGAAGACATTTGCCTCCATGAATGTACTTGTTTGAAAGTTAGAAAGCTATTATTTAAGCATAGAGGCTAGAGAACAAAACTTCATCCTTCACTACCCGAGCTCCGTTTGTGAGCAGCTTGAAACAAGCTGTAAGCAAGCTAAACAGCTTGTCATTTAGACGAACGATATGAACAGACAGCAGCCAAACGAATGCACTGCCTTCTAGTGGATTCCAACTCACGGTGATCCTGCAGCATCATTCAAAAGAATTCTAACTCACTGCTCTGGCGTGGGCTCTGACACATAGCAATCATCCACCCGTTTCCGAAGCTATAAATTGCATAGGAGGAAACGGTCCTCTGTCTCTGTTAGAGCTGCTGGTGTATTTGAACTGCTGGAGATACACAGCCTATGCATTAAGAGTAAAACTCACTTTGTACTACATCTTCTTAGAGTGAGTCTTAATGATACTAAAAATTTATGCTTGAATTGGATTTATAGTGTTCTTTCAAGGACGCAGGTTTTGTCACACTGTTGCAGCTGTTTGAACTGCTGCTGTTGTTGTGTGTCATTGAACTGGAACTGATCCATAGTTTAGGGAGCTCTGGGAGCCTCGTGGTAAGAAGTTGTGCTGGAATTCTGAAGGTGTGTGGTTCGAATCCATCAGCTGCTCAGAGGGAGAAGGGTGGATAATCTCCCTTGCGATTAACTGCCTTTGAAAACCCGCTGGAGGGTCAGCTATGGGTTGATTCCAACTCTACAGTACACAACAAGAGGAGATTGCCCATACTTTTCTCACATTATACACACACACACACACACACACACACACACACATATACTATATTAAAAGGGAAAATTATTATTTGCTCTTGTTGTGAACTGTTGAATCAGAACCTGACCCATGACAGACCCTCCAATGGGTTTTCAGAGACAGCTGATAGATTCAAACCAAGTGACTTCAGGATTGCAATGCAGTTTCTAACAACTAGGCCATTACAGCTCCCTAATTTGCTCTACATGTGGCCCAAATGTTTTAGGACTAAAATGAGGTTTACTGCTTTAGAGTGTTGCTTCAAGGACCAGACTGTGACCTACTCCCACTTTAATACCACTCTACCACTCTACCACCAACGTTACCTGTGTAACGTTAGACAAATGACTTAGGTAGCTACACTGGATCCTGTTATAAAAAAGGGGGTAGTGTTGCCTACTCTTAGAGGTTTTTAGAGTTTAAATGAATTACTATATGTAAACCTAATATTAAATGGCACTTATTAAGCATTGCAGGAGGGACAATGCTTTTGAACTGCCAACCTTTTGGTTAAAAGCCCAATATCTAATGCGTTATAGTCACCAGGGTTCCTTATGAGCCTTAATTATGATTAATAAAGATTTAGAGGGTAGGTAGCCATGATTTGTAGTATCTTCAAGGGTAATGAATTTTTTAGGATAGGAATCGATTTCTAAGTTGTGTATGTGATGAGTAGATTCCATTTTCACATTACTAAGGAGTGGAGCTTTGATGGCCTCATGGGTAAGGAGTTGCACTGCCAACCCAAAGGCGGGTAGTTGTGATCCACCAGCTACTCTGTGCAAGGAAGATGGGCATTCTCCTCCTGAGCAATTTATAGCCTCTGAAAACCTGCGGAAGGCTCAGCTGTGAGTCTGTTGCAACTCAATAGCAGTGAGTGAAAGGGATGGAGAAGGAGCTCTGATGGCAGCATAGTGTATCAGGTGTCATACTACTGACAAAGGTGAGATGTTCCAATCCACCAGGCGCTGGTGGGAGAAAGATGGCAGTTTCCTCATATAAAGATTTGTATCCTTGTAAATAGGTAAAGGGTCTCAATGAAATATACTCAAGAGCAATGACTTTGGCTTTGAGGAATGAAGCAGGTTTTAAATTAATCTTTTCTCTCTAGCTATCCTCTCAGGATTTCTACTTATCTTTCTAACTTCCTCTTGTTCCCTTCCTTCATCCCTCCCTCCCTATCATGTTGTTGTTGTGTATTGTCAACCTAAAGCTAACCAAACTGTTCAGACAGTTTTCAGAGACAGTAAATTGCAGGAAAATGCCCATTCTTTTCCCGTGGAGCAACTGATGAATTTGAACCACTTTGTCTAGTGATAGGAAGCTTTACTGCAATCCCAATACAATCTCTGCCTCTCACAAGATTTATGGCCTCTGTAAAGTGGCTGGAGGAGTCATCTCTTAGTTGGTTCTGACTCGATGGCACACAATGACAACGTTATTTCGAAAGGCTTACCTGCTATATACCACATATTGCTTTTGGGATAAATCTATATTTAAACAATATTTTGCAACAAATGAATAAAAACAAAAAAAATTAGGATGACTTACCCTTATGAACATTTGGTTGAGGAAACACACCTTTAAAAAAATGAGATATATTACAAATGAAAGTAATTCTTTCTTATTGTTGATTTGCAAGTAATAAGTACATACACATTTTAATGATAAGATTTCATTTGTCTTAGGCCCCGCATCCCCCGCTAAACACATTACCCACATAGGTTTGTCATGTTGTCAACAGAGTGGAGGAAGGAGAAAAGTCCAAAAATAAGCAAACATCCAGAATTCTGTATCGTTTACTCTGTGTCCACAGGGACAATTCAGTAAGAGTTTAAGGAGTTAGAGGAATAGGTTTTGCTGGAGTCCAGCCAGCACTCGATGAACCACATGACCCTTCAGAGGAGTCTTGTTGTCATAGCCACAATGCGCCACACGATGGCAGTATTTCTGAAAAAGGATTTTAGACTTCAATACAATTCTATCAGTGTTCTTATTCTGGCAAGAATATTCATATGCTTAATGACAGA